TTGACTACGTTTATCCGTATGATATGGTGGAGATGGTTGACTGCATCTCCTGAACGAATTGACTCCCTATTCTACCCCTCAAGCTGGAGCATGAACGAAACGACGTGAATGCCCAGCTTGAAAGTGAAAATGGTGAAACTGAAAATTACCTGATTCTGAACGCTGAGGGGACGATCGCTCCTTGGATCATGACTACCTTGTTGTATGACTTGATAAAATTTTATTGACAAGAGCTTCTCTATCTTACCAACATTAGCTAGTGAAGGGCAACCATTGCAGGTCACGATTATCATCAGCGCTATGACTTTGATGTTGGTGAAGAGATGACTTTCGTGGTCACTTTGAAGAGGATGACCCGGCCACAATGACGACAAAAACTTCTCGACAAAAAACACAGTGACTATGACTTGAGCTTTGCGCTGGAGATGGACAGTACGAGGGGAACATGAGTGGAATACCCTCGTTGACTTTTAACATGACCTCACATGTAGGATACATATCACTTCCTTTACCCTATGTTTTTTAGCGGTGGAAAAGGGAGGAAAGGGAAGGAAAGGGGGGAGATCACATATTCCCAAAAAATTTCCCCCGTTTTCAAACGTAACTACAGTACGGAGGGGATGGTAAATGGAAAGAAAAAGCACTGTGGAAAGTGCCCCTCCAATTTGGAAGGAAATGGTTGATTTAATGGGTTATTTATCAATTAATGGATTGGGGTGCATAATAGGTATGTTTTATGTTATTTATCAATTAATAGGTATGTTTTATGTTATTATATCAATTGGATTCCACATATCATTCAATGATCTTAATTAATTGTTAAATAAATATTTTTTTAATATTATTTGTAAGTTTCTTTTTACTTTGCTTTCAACTTCTTACATTATTTTACACAATTACGTGGAACGTAAATGTGTGTTAAGTTTCAAGTAAACGACATTAGAGTGTTACATTTTTTATAGAATGGAAGTCATTTTTTAAGTGAAAACTTTATGTTCCATTAACAAATAATAAAATTGGTCATGGTTATGTAGAAATTGGTTATTCATAATATTTATTTTCGCATTTTTTGCATACACTTACTATTACATAATCAATAAAATAACATATCTATCACACTTCCCTATATACTTTTCCCCTCCAACTATTCTTTTCACTTCCCCCATAAAACAACATTTTCTCTCCAATTCCCTTACTCTCCAATTTTCCTTTCCCTCCCGTCCCCTCCTTTTCCTCCCCTACTTCGAAAACAGGGGGTTAGGGTGAATGATAGCCTCATCTTGGAGTGTTGGGACGAGGTCCAACAAGGGAAGGGTGGCCGGCCCAATATGAAAAGACCCATTAGGTTACTTTGCTGAGTTCGCCTTTTTTCCCTTTTCTGTTGCTCGTCCCGCGGAAACCAGCCACTGCGACCGGAGCTACAGCAGACGACGTTGATCCTTAGCGAGGGTGAGACGTGAGATTGGTGACTGGGAGAGACCTTGAATTTGTGGACCTGCCGAGAGATTTGGATCAGCCAATCAAAAACAAAAAGTCCCACCGTGGACGATGATGGTGAGATTGACTTGAAGACGAGGAGTGTGACACCTCTACAGGAGGCAAAGCTGGAGCTGTGTTACATGCAGATTAGTATTGAGGGGATTTTATTGTTAAGTGGTTGTTTGGGATTATCTCCAATAGCTTATTTTTTGATATGGTCCATATGGGCCACTTCTACAGGTCACAATTACTTGCCAAAGAAGCTATCAAGGTTGGAAAGAAGAAAAGCAGAATTTGGCTAAGTCAAAATCCGTGTTCAGGGTACACACTTTGGACGCATGGTTCTCTCAATTGGCTTGGTGGAAATTCCAGTTCAATGGTTTTTATTGTAGATAAAGTTTCCATGTTTCCAATGATATGCTTTGTGAAGCCAGATGATGTCATTAAGATTGTTTTCCAAGACCTCAAAGTTGCTACCTCAAAACTGGAAAACTGCTAGAAAATGGCTAAGGCAGAAAACTGTTTTGTGAAGCCTACTTTGGAGCTCAATTCGAGGAGTATGGATCTGATTCAACTCCAAAGGTTTCCACAAAATGAAACTAGGTATGTTTTTGAACAAAGGGAAGGAATTGGATGAAGAATTGGAGTTCGGGAAGGCCTCGAATGAAAGGCGCAAAGTTAGTACGAAAGCTGCCTTTTGACTGTTTTGCGGGCAGCTTACTTGCGCTTGAAGAAAAGGAGTTTAAACCCGAATTTTGTGTCCTTTTTAGTGTATAATTTTACCTTAATTGTTTCCTAGTTATACTATGATTGTATTAGGTTTTATTTGCCTTTAAATACCGTTCTATTTCGTTGTAAAATTAAGACTTCGTTGAATAGAAAAGAAACCGTTTGGTTTGTGCAAGTTGCGACTTGTTTTGGGTTTGGTGGATTCCAACCTTGCTGAGCTTGTGTATCGATTGAATAGTCACTTCAATCTTGGTCGAGCAACTACCCTTTTATACCAATCGAGCTATCCCCAGGTGTGGATTTGTCCTTTTGGTTCCGTTTTATCCAAGTTCGTATTAAGAACGTGTTGTTCTTGATTCGAGCTCAATCGATTCTTCGATTGAGTCGTTTGCTGCGTGACTTTGATAAACATACACCCCCCAGGGGCGTATTAAGTGGTATCAGAGCCCCGTTCTACACAAGGGCGAAGGAGAAGAAGAACCTGCTGTTTCGTATAAGCAGTTTTATCGAGTTCCAAAACAGGGCAGCCCCTGTTTGTACTTTGCAGCTGCTGTTTGTGTTTGAAGTTTTCGGTTCTACACCAAGAGATGGTGGAGAGCAGTGTAGAGGCAAGGAAGATGCAAATTCTTGTCCAAGAGGAGCAGCCAGCAGCTGTTTTTAAGCAACGAGAATCCGATGAGCAGCGTGATAATCTATTTCACAGCCGATGCTTTGTCGAAGGCAAGTTAATTTCGTTCGTGATCAATGGAGGTTGCTGCTCAAACATCATCAGCATATACGCCGTTCAAAATCTTGGATTGACGACACAAAGGCATCCAGCGCCTTACCAACTCAGTTGGATCAACGAGCACGGAACAATTAATGTGACGAAGCAAGCGGTGGTCCGTTTTCAACTCGGCAGCTACGAAGACGAGGTAATTTGTGATGTTGTGTCGATGAATTATGTTCATCTAATACTGGGTCGACCGTGGCAATTTGACAGAGGGGTTACCCATTATGGTTGGGAGAATTCCTACACATTCAGACACAAAGGCAGGAAGATCAAGCTGAAACCTCGTTCTCCGGACGCCGTTTACGGCGATTTGAAGCAAATGGAGGAGAATTGGAACGAGGGAAAGAGCGTTCATGCTCAGTTATGGGTACAGCGAGGCTTTGGATTCAGTTTTATGAGCTTTCAAAAGCTCCAAAAACCAATGCGGGAGCCGGAACAAACTGCCATATCTGACCCCTGTTTGTCGCCGACGAAACAGAGTATGCACTCGGGAGAAGTCGTCGCCGAGCTAGGTGACAATTCGAGCTGTGCCACCTCCGTGAACGTATTACTGGAGGTATCAAAAATGAATTCTATGGAAGAGATCGTCCCAAAACAGGCTAGGATGAAGCATCACGATTTGAAAATTCCCTATCTGGAAAAGGAGGTACAGAGCAGGAGAGAGGGGGATTTGGGTGGAGAAGTGGGGAGCTGTTCGGACCCAACCATTGGTGTAGAAACCATCGAAGGAGGACTAGGAAGCTTTTCCCTGGAGTGGAATCCATTGAATGCTTCCGAATCGAAGGAACCCATCTGGGCTAAATCTGCTCTGCAAAAGCTCGGCCACGGCAAGGAAACGGCTGAAGTGGGTGGAGCAGTTGACGATGATTCGAACCAATTGGCTGTTGTGGAATCATTAGGGAAGATCCTAGGAAGCTATTGGAATGACCAATTGGAGTTGGGGATGATCGAGATGGAAACGCCCAAATCGAATTTGCCACTTCTGAGTTCTGGAAATTCAAAATCGGGCGACGGCGGGAAGAGGGAAATAGTCGATTCAACAATGACGGTGATGATTCGAGCTATAGGAAGGGTACATAATTACAATTGGAGGCCTGGCGAGTCGTGTGGAGTAGGTGAATTGGATTGGGAATGCCTCAATTCAAAACCCCCAATTCATTCGAGCAAGAACATGTACGAAAGTGACGTCAAACTACCCGGGAATTGTTCTGATCAATTTCCCGTAAAATTGAACGACTAGGGAGGTTTATTTCGAGCCCAGGGAGAGTTCCCAACTGATCTGAAAGTTTCAAATTCACTGGACGACATTGGAGGTGCATTTGTAGGTGTCAATTTTCTGCCGAAAAAGATGATTGAACAGCCCTCTTTTGATCCGATTTGGGATCCATTCTGGGATGAATTTGTAAAAAGGACAGAACAAGATTTGAGGGCAAAGCTTTTTGAAGAGGGAGAGCCTGATATGGTCCAAATGGGCCACTTCTACAGGTCACAATTACTTGCCAAAGAAGCTATCAAGGTTGGAAAGAAGAAAGGCAGAATTTGGCCAAGTCAAAATCCGTGTTCAGGGTACATACTTTGGACGCATGGTTCTCTCAATTGGCTTGGTGGAAATTCCAGTTCAATAGTTTTTATTGTAGATAAAGTTTCCATGTTTCCAATGATATGCTTTGTGAAGCCATATGATGTCATTAAGATTGTTTTCCAAGACCTCAAAGTTGCTACCTCAAAACTGGAAAACTGCCAGAAAATGGCTAAGGCAGAAAACTGTTTTGTGAGTCGTTTGCTGCGTGACTTTGATAAACATACACCCCCAGGGGCGTATTATTTTTAGGATTAGTGGGTTGGTAGTTTGTTTATTTAAATCAATTAGAAGTTGTATTCGGCGTGTAGAATAATCAAAGAACTTATTGTTTGTTAAGGAGGCCGGCTTTGCCTCGAAGAAGCCAAACCTAATCCATCTTCTTCTTCCCCGCGTCCCTTTTCCCATCTATCTACTACCTAAAACACCACCATCGCTCCAATGAAGCAAAAACTCATTAATCCTTGGCCGCGATCCGAGCCGCAAGGGCCTGAAACTCGATCCCAAACTAAAGCACACAACAGCTTGATATCAGAGCCGGCCGCTTCCGCCGCTATGGAGGCTCGCGTGGAACAACTCGAAGCTTTGCTCCGGCAGGAGATGCAAACGAATGCAAAGGTTAGGCAAGAGCTGCGGCAGGAAAACCAAGAGTACTTTGCCGTCCTCAACTCACGGCCGGACCAATTGTTCGCCCAAATGCAAGATGAAGAACCCCGCCGCCAGGTCCTTAACAAAGTTCTGAGGAATGGAAGACCAGATGGACAACCACAAGGGAATCCTCGATCAAAATCGATTTTTCGTGATTCCTTGGCGAAGAAGACTCGACCACTTGGAGCTATCAAAATTTGAATGCGTGCACAAGACGAAGCTATAGGTTTCTATGATATAGCCGGTGTGGAAGTAGGCCAGCATATCATATTGTTTTTCGGAGAGGAAAACTTTTGCGTTTGAATTTAATGATTTGCACCTTGACTTATCTAACAACGATTCTAAACATGATTCACACCTCTCCGAACAATGTTCGATCGAGGGTGTTTGATGTTTTGATGGTTTTTTGAGAACAAACTACATTAATTACTCCTACTCCTATGGAGGTTCAGTGAGAGCTCCGAAAACTATTGCAGAGAAACGATAAATTTTGACATTGTGCGTCAATTGATTGGTTGTGGAACCTGTTTACAATCTTAGTTTCTCCTATTTATAGTCACTAGGTGTAACTACCTTAACAATCGCCTTGGTAACTGCTAGCTAGCTTGTTGCTTCAAACCACCCCGGGGTCCTCATTGCTGCCTTGGTGACCAGTTAGTAACTGTCATTTGGGTGGCTTGGTATCAGGCTTGATGAGTTGACGTCCATCTTGTAGCCTCGTCTTGACTAGAAAGGGTAGGGACCTCGTTGGCTTTACTCCATCACATTGGCCGTCCCATCGGGCCTCGTTCACGACCCCAACAACCCTTATGATTAGATACTTAGCTCATTTGATGCCTTAGTACGATCTTCATCTCATTATCTAACTCGCCTCTTAGCTTGCCATCCTCATCTCGTTAGTTAGTCCTTGTAATCACCCTGACACCTTGTCGTCTCACTAACTTGACACCCCCTTTCACCAAGCTAGCCCCGTCGGCTTGGTCTCCATACTTGGTTTTTGAAATCTCATCAAGCATGTACCTTGCCGCATGTCGGCTTGGTACCCCGTTAGAGGCTACCAAGCCCATCTTGGGACTTAGTCTCCATATAGCCCCCTAAGGGGCTCTACATCATGTTCATGATGACTTGGTACCTAGCCGGTAGTCACCTCAGATGGCCACCTTGTCAGCTCGTCATCGGGTTGACACCCTTAGATCTCCATACTTAGTTTTTTGGGAGGTTTAGTAACCTGATATCAAGTTTGTCTTGTCATCTTGGTACCCTCTAGGGGTCTTGGTACCTAGGATGCCTTGCCGTCCTGGTACCCCCTTGGCTCCATACTTAGCCAAATTCATGTTTTTCATGTCTTGGTACTAAGCCCTACCTTGCCGGCTCGGTACCCTCTTGGTACTTTGGCTTGGTACTTAGCCAATCTTACCCTGCTTGGTACCCTCAACCTCCCCAAGCCTCTTCCGTCTTGGTACCCTGTCGTTTGGCCCCCTGTTGCGATGGCTTGTATGGCCCCCTGTTGCCATGGGATTCCATACAAAGCCAAATTTCATGCTTAGGTACTAGGGCTGTCTTGGCGGCTTGGTACCCTGTTGGCTCCATACTTAGTCAATTTTCATGTCTTTTGGCATCAAGCCTGCCTTGTTGGCTTGATACCCATTTGGCTCTATACTTAGCCTATTTTCCTATGTTTCGATACCAACCAAGCCTCTTTCGTCAGCTTGGTACCCTATCGTTTAGCACCCTGTTTTGACTCCTTGTTTCCATACTTAGTTTCTGGATGACACCCTATTTGGTACCCACCTTGGTACCCGGTCGTTTGGCACCCTGTTTTGTTGACTTGTTTCTAGATTTAGTTTTTGAGAGCCAAATTTCATTCCAAGGGATCTAGGCATCGTCTGGCTATGGGGCCAAAGGGACGGGTCAACCATCATGTACGGAGAAGATCTTGGCCACTTAGGCCCAAAAACCCAACCAACAAGGTCCAGCTAGCTCTTTTAATTATTAATGTTGACCTGACCTTATAAATTCATTAAACCTCTTGTAGTTAATCGATGTGGTACAAGCTGAATTTTTTTAGTGGTAAACAAATGCCTCCAGCTACTTAGTGCATAAGAATTATGCACTAAGTTGTTGAACTCAACTTGACCACCTATCTCGTCACCACCTACCTTAACCAAAATCTTGGCTTTCAAAATAAAGCCATCACGATTAAAACTAACTCTAGACTCTCCTTGTTGTCGAGCGAGAGATGGGGAGGAAGGAAACCATTTTTTAATAGCATTCCTAACCTTGGTTTTAATCCAACCCATGTTTGGCTAGGATTCTACTCTCCTTATCCTTGTGGGATTCTACTTCAATCAAGCTTCCCACTCACAATACCATACTTCCAACTGAACCATACCCTCTATGTCATGACTAGCTATTCAAGTCATACTTCATCAAGAGGGTATCCAGCCATGTCTTATGGTGTGGCAGGCTTGACATGTCGGCCATCATGTTGGCCGACTAACATTGAACCAGCTGACTGCCCATATCCCAAAGAGAAAGGACATAAGGATTGAGATACTTGTCACTCATCAACCGATCATGTTGCACCCCATCCTCTTTAAGCAAGTATGCATCCTTGATTGGTGGCATAGAAGGTAAACAATCCATGTCGGATACCCAGTCAGCTAATCATGCCATGAAAGTAGAATAGTGTACTCACCAATCAAACGAGCGTAGAGGTTCCATAGACCCAGTCACATGACTTGTTGCATACCAGTCATGGCGAGGTCCTCACATTGCCATTGTTACAACTCCGAATCAATTTGCCACTTCGTCATCTTTTTTAGTCATGAATGGCCTATGATTTGTTTTCTCTCTTTTTTTTTCTTCCTATTTGCTAATTTTATTTATAAAATTATTTTAATGAGGGAAAGGCATGTCCAAGGTGCTCATTTTGGAGCTCGATTATTGGCGATTGGGACACAAGAAGCTGGTGATTCAGGTTGGAATTGAAACTAGAACACTTTCTAAACCACAAGAAGGCATTGGATGAGGTCGACCTGAGTTGGAAGATCGGTTTTCGGGACATCCAAAGAAGTTGTCTTGAACCTCTAGTAATCCGCATTCCATAAGGATTCCGAATTCCATTCGATTTAATGTATTAATTAGTTTCACTGTTTGATTACGTTTAATTCCAGTTGTGTTTAAGTTTGTTTTAGTTTTTTTAAGTCTATAAAAGGCCTCATCGTGTATTGAAGAGGCATAGTTTATTTACGAGTAAAAACCCACCAAAATGCCAACGTGAGAGTTGTGAGTTTGATTTGGTTTTGGTTGCGATCAAAACTTGCTGAAATCCTAGCCTATTGATGTAGAAACACACTCAATTATATCGAAGGCATCGCCATAGAGATCGTATAATCTACCAGGTGTGAGATTCCCCTTTCGTTTCCATCTAATTGAAGCTCGAACTAGCTTACCTAAGCTTGTTCTCGAGCTTTGTTTTGTGCTTAAACAACCCATTAGTTTGCTTGGGTTGTCTGAGCGACTTGGAAACTCAATTGAGACCCAATTTTGGGCTCATCACAAGGTTTCCTTAAGATGTTTGTGGAGATTATAATGCTTTTTTACATCCAAATGTGGTTGCTCCCATTGCTCCAACAACGACGAGTATGGTTTTTATTTAGAGATTGGGTGACTAGTACGATGTTGCTGGATAACACGGAAACATACCCTTTTTTGACTTGGTTGCATTAGCAACAGGGTACACCAATTTCTAGGAAGTTGGATCGAGTGTTGGCCAATGAGGAATGACTCTCCCAGTTTTCCCATTGTATAGTTCAATTCCTGGCTCCCGATTTCTCATATTATTGTGGGATGCTTATCAAACTATTTGTTCCTAGGAAGTCATTCCCCAAGCCTTTCTGCTTCAATGATATGTGGATTAAGCATGAATCTTATTTTGAGATCTTAAAAGGAATTGGAACAACCTAAAGACAATTGGATTCTTGTTGGAGTAAAAGGGAATATGAAGCTATAAAGAATAAAGCTAAAGAAGCTTAATTAATAAGCTTTTGCTGATATTTCTGGGAAGGTAAAGGAGGCAGCAACTAGAATGAAAGAGGCACAAATAGCAACACTTTCCAATCCTTGTAGTGTGACTTTTGAAGAAAGGCTATTACTAGTAAAGAGTTGTTGTTCTATCATAAGGCGAAAAAGTGTTATTTTTTTTTTACAGAGGTCAAGAATAAACTGGCTTACCCTTTGTGATGCTAACACACTATTTCTCTTAAATCAGTGAATAATGGATAATGCTGCTCCATAACAAATAAGGAGATTGGTTTTGGATTCTGGAGTTCAAGTAATAGAGGTGGAAGATATTGAGCAAGTAATAGTGACTTATTACCAAAATCTCTTTGGTATGGTTAATGTTGTGGTGGTGGTTGATCCAGACTTTATCACTTGTCAGATTATGGAGAGGCTGAGCCCTAAGGAAGGTACTTTTTTGTGTAGAATAGTTCTGGATGAGGAAATTAAACAAGTTGTTTTTGCTATGGATAATGCTAAGAGCCCTAGATTTGATGGCTGGACAGGTAACTTTTTTAAAAAAGTTGGACAACGGTAGGTAAATCTATTACTGCTGGGGTGAGAGAATTTTTCATTCATAAAAAATTCCCAAGAGGTATAAATGGAGCTTCTATCACATTATGTCCTAAAATTTCTAATGCTATATCATTGAACTCTTATAGATCAATTTCTTGCATCAATGTACTATATAAGATAGTAGCAAAGGTACTATCTAATAGATTGCAAGAAGTATTGTCTAGTGTCATTAGCAAGAATCAATCAGTCTTTTGAAGGGTAGGAGTATCTTAGATAATACACTCACTATAAGTTAGTGGGTGTGACAAAGAATTTTGCCTTAGGCAAAGAATTTTAGTCTACCATCCCCACCATAAGTTAGTGGGCGTGACACATCTTTGTTTCTCGGATGACTTACTCATTTTCACCGAGGGGTTGGGATTTTCACTGAAATTTGGGAAGAGGATCATGGATACATTTGCTCAGCTATATGATCTGATTGCAACTCTTAAAAAAATCTCTAGTGTTGAAACACAGTTGTTAAACGTGTTGCTATTCAGTCTACTTGCTTTAGAGAGGGATCTTTCCTGGTTTGATAAGATCACTAGTAGAATAAGATCATGTCGTGCAAGTTAACATTCATA